TAAACTAGTAATGCAAGTTAAATTAGATGCTCTTTCACACCCCTTTGACTGGCAAAAATTAAAGTATATTAAAAGCAAGTTTTAGTAAAAATGTGAAGGCAAGGGTGGGAATGCAAACTGGGACAAGCCCTTGGGAGAGCGATATGGTGATATCCACAAGGTTTATGCCCTTCAACTCAGCAATTCTGTTTCTAGGTACATCCTGGTCTCCAAAGAGAGATGTGCACCCCTCAGACACAAGATAATCACAGAGGTGCCAAAAGGAAGCATTAGTATTTAAATATATTTTTTTATTCAAAAGAAAAACAAGTAAGTTTTACTAATCTTTAGGAAACAGACTGATGCTGGCGCCCTCCCTGTGCTCTTGTCAGAGATCCTGGGTTATGAAGTAAAGCAAGTGAGTTATATGGGTAAAGGGTAAGGGAGCTTCATATTTGGAGGGGTTGTCTGTGTTTTCTTTTCAGGGTTTGGCGACGTGTTTTTCACTGCTCTCCACAGTTTACAAATCCCCAGATAAATGGAATTACAGATTATGCTATTTGGATTTTCCTAGCCCCCAAAAGTGAACAAGAGGCTTAACAAGATTCCTCCAAAGAAGCAAGATTAAGATTACAAATAATCCTAATGACTCACACACAAGTGTGAGTACAAACTCTCAGGTTCAATAAGAGAGTCAGCTGGTCAATGCGTGAGAAAATCACTGAAGTTCAAGAGAAACTCTTGCCAATAATGAATCCTTAACACTACTGAACTGTACATTTAAAAGTGCTTTAGATGGCAAATTTTATATTATGGGCATTTTGCCACAATTAAAATTTTAAATAAATAATAAATAATAAGTGGGAAAGTAATGAAGCATATTCAGCCACGTTATTTTCACTAAAGATTTTTTTAAAAAAATATTTACTTATTTATTTGGCTGCACTGGGTCTTAGTTGCGGCGTGCGGGATCTAGTTCCCTGACCAGGGATCAAACCCGGGGCCCCTGTATTGGGAGCGTGGAGCTTAGCCACTGGACCACCAGGGAAGTCCCTCACTAATGATTTTTGTACTACAAATAAATAAATATTTGTAATATATTATTTCTTTCTTTTTTCAATTGCCCTTTTTACAGTTATCTTTTTGTATATCTTATGATGGACATACTAATTTGGAATAGTGGTTCACATATGTATTTCATAAATAAATACATATTCATATTTTAGGGGTGCACAGCAAAAATATTTTTCCTGCTAAGAGGATGTGGCAAAAATATGTTTGATGCTTGCTGGCCTAGAGAAACTTTTCCACAGGTGGGCAAGGAGACATAAAAAGGAATGTGACTTGAAGCACTGTTTGAAGAACTGGGAAATAATCTAAATGTCCATCAGCGGAGAAATGGATCAGCTGGGCTATATTCAAGCACTGGAATACTATACAGTGCTTTAAATGAATGAATAAGAGCTACATGTATCAACATGGGTAAATATTTTCAAGATCTTAAGTGAAAAAAGCATACTGTAGAATGAAAAGTCTAACATGCAAAACAATGTGATATATTGTATATGGATACATACACACATATGTTATAATATGTATTACATATGTAGTAATATGTACTATGTTTAAAAACATTCAAGAGGAGGGCAAATACCAAATTCAGGAATAGAGGTTACCTCTTGGTAGGGAAGGAAGCAAAGGAGATTGGAGGCATTATTTCTTTAAAACAAAAAGATGGGGCTTCCCTGGTGGCGCAGTGGTTAAGAATCCGCCTGCCAATGCAGGGGACACAGGTTCAATCTCTGGTCCGGGAAGATCCCACATGCCGCAGAGCAGCTAAGCCCATGCGCCACAACGACTAAGCTTGCCCTCTAGAATCCGCGAGCCACAACTACTGAGCCCTCGTGCCACAACTACTGAAGCCCTCACGCCTGGAGCCCGTGCTCTGCAACAAGAGGAGCCACCGCAATGTGAAGCCCATGCACCACAATGAAGAGTAGTGCCCAGTCGCCGCAACTAGAGAAAGACCACATGCAGCAACAAAGACTCAATGCAGCCAAAAATAAAATAAGTATTTTAAAAAGATGCAAGGTAAATTAATATAACAAATAGCTCATACTTTTAAAACAAGATGTTTTAAAACTAGTCTCCCTGAGTTCTCCTCCTCAGCGACGACCCTCTTCACATTCCCTTGTGTATCTTTCCAGAGATATTTTATGCACATGCCAGGTCAGATATGTGTGCGTATTTCTCCCCATCCCTCCAACTTTTTAAACACAAATGGTAGCAAACATTACATACTGTTCTGAGCCTCACTTTTTTCTTTAACAATGTATCTTGAATTTTGTTACATGTCACTACATAAAGAGCTTCTTCCACTTTCATGGCTGCACAATACTTCCTTCTGTGGCTTTTTTGAGTCAGTCTCCTATAGATAAAATGTAGACTATTCCTGTCTTTTCACTACAATTAGCGTCACTGCAACGAATATCCTTATAAATATGTCATTCTGCACACATGCATGTATTATAATAAATTCCCAGAAGGATAAATGCTGGGTCTTTTCAAATTGCCCTCCAACAAGATTGTACCGATTTACTTTCTGCAGAAACATTTTCCAGTGCCTGTTACCCAATGTCAGATCAACACAGTATTATCAGACTTTTAAATCTAAGAAGAAAACATGTTATCTCATTGCAAGTTTAATTTGCATATTTTAAAAGTTATAAATGACTCTTTTTTTTCAGTGTAAAAAGCCATCTTGATTTTTTTCTGTAAGCTTTCTGTCATTTGTCCAGTGGTATGAATTGGTTTTTTGAACTATGAGCTATAACTTTTGTAATAAAATAGCCAATGAGGATTTTGTAAAATGCAGGGTCTGTAGAGCCTTCACTCAGTTTTGTAAGAAGTTTCTAGGATGTCTTCAAAAAGCCTTTGTGCACTGTACCAATATCGATTTCCTGATTTTGATATTATACTATAGCTATGTAAGATGTTACCATTGGGGGAAACTGAGTGAAGATGCACAGGTCTCTAAGTACTACTTTTGCAACTCCCTGTGGGTCTGTAATTATTTCAAAGTGAAAACTTAAAAAGGAACAAAATTTTGTGCTCCTTTTTCTTTTTTTAATATTTATTTATTTGGTTGCACCTGGTCTTAGTTGCGGCACGTGGGCTCCTTAGTTGCGGCACGTGGGCTCCTTAGTTGCAGCATGCATGTGGGATCTAGTTCCCTGACCAGGGATCGAACCCCGGCCCCCTGCATTGGGAGCTTGGAGTCTTATCTACCGCGCCACCAGGGAAGTCCCCTGTGCTCCTTTTCTGATCGTGGGGGCTCTGACCTCAAACTATGATCCTTGAGTCATGATGGCTCCCAAGTCTGTTAACCAACAAACCCCACCTGCAAGACAGCCACTGGGTTAGAAAGTACATCTGAGGATCTGAAATAGGGGCAAGTCTTTGGGGGCTGACTCCGGCCTCTGACTCCATTATTGTCACATTCTAACTCAGGGAGCACACAGAAGCCATGGGGCTAATAGTCACAGTATCCTGTATTTCTACTGAGCTTTACAATGTTCCATGTTCATTCATTTACATTATCCCAACGATAATAAGCGTAGAGGATTCTCTCAGGAGGCGCTCTGCCAGATATATAAGACCCTTCCTTTCCTTTTGTTGTCATCCCTTGAAAATCTTCTATCTGAACTCTGCTGCTCAAGCCATCCATGATTCTCTGGAGGGCCCACACAGTGCCATGCATCTGGGTCTGCTCCCTTTCTCTTCTAGTCTTTCTGCCTAAAAAACTCTCACTTGTTCTTCAAAAAAGTGAAAGTATCGCCTCCACCAGAAGCCTTCCTAGATCTCCCATCTCCGGTTTCCAACTCCCATCCAACAGGCAATGTTAACCTAATCTTCTTCTAGGCAACCTACTGCAATCTCCATTAGATACTGAAACACTTATCTCACTGTACTGTCATGATTAAACATGTCTGTTTCCACTGAAGACCCTTTGAAGGGAGAGCTTTTGTGACATTTATCTTTATATATCAGTGCCTAGCAGCAATGCCAATAAATATTTAGTGAATGAAAAAGTCAGGCCAGTGACCTGCCAGCCCCCTCTGCAGTTCAGGAAAAGCTAACCCGGGTTCTTGGGTAGTTCATTTCAGCCCAGAGCCAGGTGTTTTGAGAGCCATCTGAGGCTCCGCCTGCTGTGCAGGCGCACTTGCCTCTGGTTGGGCTCCCTGTAACTGTGTGACTCTGTGTTTCATTTTCCTTATCTTTACTATGTGGACAATAAAAGCATCTCCTCACACGGTTGCTGGGAGGATTAAAGAGATAATGTATCAAAAGCTCTTAGATAATGCTTGACAATGGGTAAAGAAGGCTCCTCGGAGTTATTTCTGTGTAAGTGTTGACTGAGTGAATGAAAGAAATGACTCGAGGTTGCCTGTTCATTTATTGAGCACCCACTATGTGTCCGGTAGCGCGTTAAGCACAGCATGGTAAATGGAGAGAAGCAACCGCAGCACACTGCAGTGGTCTTAACACAGATTGCAGGGAATCAGGGAAGGTTTTCTGGAGCTTGAATTTTCATACAGGAGGAGCATGGAAAGGTGCAGGTGGTAGCAGTTGATAGAGACAGTGGGCATTCCGGACAGAGCCAGCTGTTTCCTCCTTGAAAGCTGTGTGGGAGTGGGTGGCTTAGCTTCCCACGAGTGGCGTGAAAGGGCGGCTTGGTGAGGCCGGTCGAGGCGCTAGAATCGAAGGTGAGTTCCAGTCCCGTTTAGTTATTAGCCGCGTGACTTTGGTCAAGTCACCGAACCCCTCCGAACTTCCCCAACTGTAAAAAAAGAGTCGGTTAAGACTACTCACCAGCCTGGATTCCTGAGAGAACACATGACCGTGCGTAAACCAAGACGCGCTCTACTTAGAAGGTACAAAACACCCGGCAGGTCACTACGAGTCGACTAGGTTCTACGCCCCGCGCGCCGGGGCGTGGATTTCGCTTCTGATCATGCGCAGTGAGCCCGTGGCGCGGCCCGTCAGGCGCTGCGGTAGGCGCCCTGGGGGCTGGCAGGACCCTGGCCCCAAGATGGCGGCGCCCAGTGCAGAGGCCGCTGCTGCCTCCGGCGAGAGCGATGGAGGGGGCAGCGGCTTTGAATCGTGGCTAGACGGACGGTTGGAGGCGCTGGGAGTGGACCGAGCCGTTTACGGTGCCTACATCCTGGGTGTCCTTCAGGAGGAGGAAGAAGAGGAGAAGCTGGACGCTCTTCAGGGTATCCTCTCTGCTTTCCTGGTGAGAAGCCCGGACACATTCCTTTAGCCTCTCTGCCGGCCCCTGTCAGTACTTCGTATCCCCTTTCCCGTACTTGGTGTCCCAGAGGATTAGTGGTCTCACCTGGGAGAGGAATACTCTTCTGAGCCCTGGGCCTCGGGGGAAGGGGGTTGCTCCCCATCCAGGGTTTTGGGAGCCGGAAGGTTGCAGGTGCATAGAGAGGAAAGGCTTTACCTTATTCTTGAGGACAAGGCCCTCTCAGATGCCTGTGGATGAGCTGGGTGAGTATTCTTCCAAAGGCGTTGAAATGTCTAAATGAGTTTTATCATAAACGTCTAACAACCAGTTTCATTCCCATCCGCTGACAGTGTTCAGAGGGGGGAATTAAGTGCTCTGAGATGTCTGTGCCCTTTAAGAGGCAGTGCCCCTGACAAAAGCCTGCAGGAGGTACCCTCTCGGTTTCCTATTTTGGAGGTAGGAGTCCAAAAAAGGTCAGTTTAGGCGGTAGAGGTCTTTTCACGCCTAGGCAGAATGGAAACAAATTTTGTGCTTGATCCTTTACTGTATTTAGAAATGCAGTAATCATTGGGGGGAGTAGGTTGGGGAGTAAGAGAGATCAGAGTTTTAAAGAAGAGAGATAAACTTGATACTTAGCCTTTTAGAAGCAGATTCAAGAATTCAGAAATTGTGCTTTAAACTGTATTTAAGTGGTAAGTCACCAAGATGTCCACTTTTCCAGCCTGATCATCTCTCCTGCCCTCATCTCTACCTACACTTACTTGGTGAAAGTGCAGTTCATTGACTGGTCACGTGGTTAAAACATAACACTAGTGCAGCTGTCCCAGGGCCTCCTGGCAAGGGCCCCCTTTTAGTTCCAGAGCCTGCTCTGGTGAGATTGACCTATAAATGGGAAAGCCTTAACACAGCTTGTGATGCAACTCATAAGTTCAGTGGAAATACAACACAGTGGAATAACTTCTTTCCTTGTACTATTACATTGCAGGTCATAGAGGGAAAGAGTAGGAGGCAAGCAATTTAAGTTACTTTTTAAAAAACTTCCCACTGGGAAGTTTCTAAAGACACCATGAAAAAGAAGTTGAAGTAATTTGGGTACTCATTGGTACCAGCTCCTTAACCTGTTCTTTACATTGTATCATTACTTAGAACTGCATGTCTGCTGATGAAGGCAGGCATGAATTTGCCTTAGACTCTTAACAGTCTCTTGGTAGAAGAGTTATCTAGACCAGATTTGGTTCTTTGTGTCTCCCTCTTGTTTGCATAAACTGCAGAAGACAAACTCATTTTTAAGGTGGCTTCCCCCCCTCTGCCCAATTCACACACCATGCTTAATTTTCTCACAGTTTTCCCAACCCCTTCTATGTAGAAAATGACTTTGGGAAGAATTGGCCAGGAATGATATGGGGAGGCAGGGGTCCTGTCCATGAAAACTGAGGAGCAACTTTACAGGGCAGCAAGGCCAATGAATATGGTATAGACCAAACACATCACTCATAGCACTGCTTGTTGTCTCTCAGTTGGGCTGCTTATTAAAAGCTCCAGACTATTGTACCAAATCCCATTCTAGGAAAAACAAAAGGCATAGCCAAATCAATTGCCATATTGGGCTAGATTCAATATTAGGAATTTAGAAGTTTGTCAGCAACAATTTGAGGTAAGATTCAAGAATAGTATATATAATTGGGAGCAAATGACAGTAAACAAAAACTTCTGTCATCCTTCCCTTTATTCCTTCTGATTGCACTTGCGCTGATTGATTTTTTTTTAAGTCTTTTATTGAATTTGTTACAATATTGCTTCTGTTTTATGTTTTGGTTTTTTGACCGTGAGGCATGTGGGATTTTAGCTCCCCCACCAGGGATCTAACCCGCACCTCCTGCATTGGAAGATGAAGTCTTAACCACTGGACTGCCAGGGAAGTCCCGCGCTGATTGACTGATTAATCAAATTTTTATTGATGGATAAAAATATCCATCGGCCAGGCACTGCCCTAAGTGCTTGGGGTACTTTAGGGAACAACATAGACAGAAATCCCTGCCCTCAAAGGGTTATATTCCGGTAAGGAAAGACATAATCAGTAAATTATATAGTATGTTAGAAAATGATTAGTGCTAGGAAAAAAGGAGCATTGTAAGAGGATCAGGAGTGGAATGGAGGGGTGAGCAGCTTTAAGTAGGATCATAGCATTAAGGAGGATGTTACATTTTTTTCTTCCAGTTGTATTGAGATATAATTGACTTACAGCACTACATAAGTTTAAGGTGTACAGTATACATCATGAAATGATTATCACAATGAGTTTAGTAAACAGGATATTACATTTCGTCACAGCTGTTTATATACCAGCCTTCTAAATTGTAAGTGTTATGAGGCTAGTGACTGTTTCTCATTCATCTCTTAGCACTCATCTTAGTGCCTTGAATATGGCAGGAACCATCTGGATGAATAAATGAACGAATGGAGGAATGAACTTCTTTGGTTTGGATGAGGAGATTGGGGGAATAAACCACCTCGTCCTCCAAGAGTGCCCTTTCTCTTTTGCCTCTCCATTCCTTTTCCTACCCTTTTTTCTTTTCCTCTCCCTTCGCTTTTCCTGCTGGGGATCCTTGCAAGTCAGGAACTCTGGACCAAAGAAGTCCAATATGTCTGGCATGCATGCTAAAAGTATGCAGGGTAGAGGATGGAATCCTTTGTTGGGTACAGAATAAGGATATCCATAGTAAGTCTGTGTTCTGCCTCTCCTTACTTTTCTCTGAGAGATGGTGTAATATAACGGTTGAGAACGTGGGCTCAAAGCCAGAATGCTTGGGTTCAAATCCTATTTAATCCACCTATTACTTGTATCACCTTAGGCAAGTTACTTAACCTCTGTGCCTTGGTTTCCTCATCTCTAAATTGAGAGTGCTTCTTGAGACTGTTTTAAGAACTCTGAGAGTTCTTATGTATTTGAACAGTGCCTGACACATTAGGAAATGTGAACACTGACAACTCATCCTGAGGGGTAGAAGGTGAAGGTGGTGAAGGCAGCCATAATGAAGATGGAGGGAAATACCCATATTTGTTGAAATGTCTGTTCTTTGCCCAGTGGTGTAGGCCTTTTTTTTTTTTTGGCGGTGCACAGCACGTGGGATCTTAGTTCCCTGACCAGGGATTGAATCCTGGCCCACGGCAGTGAAAGGACAGAGTCCTAACCGCTGGACCACCAGCGGTTAGGACTGTAGGCCCTTTATACACATTCATCCTTTCTCAAATCCTGGGAAGATGTGAAGCTTGGAAAAGTTAAGAAACTTGCTCATAGATCTGGGATTTGAACTGAAGTAAGTCTGACACCAAAGCCAACATCCTTTTTGTCATACCATGCTAAGGAGGAAGATTGGTTGGTGTGCAGAATATGTCTGCTTATGAAAAATGGACAGAGGGATGGTTGTATAGGAGACCATCTGCTCACTTAACTTCTCTTTATTATGGATCAGCAAGCTCGTGGATGTGTTCCAGCAAGAAAGTTGATAAACTTTGGAGAGTGTTCTGAGTTGAGTAAATTGGCCAAGGAAGATTTCATAGAGTTTTGACTCAAGCAACAGGTTTTTGCCCCAAAAGGAGAAGGACTGCCCTGAGTTGGTGAGAATCCTTTCCTTTGGAGCTTGACAGGATGGGGTGGGTGCTCTTGACCTAGCAGGTGTGGCTTCTGGGACTCACACATAGGATTACCTCTGTGTTTGGAGCCTCAGAAGAGAAACATAATCTCTATTCTGTGGCTCCCAAACCCTCCCTGTGATTTCTTCTCATCACCAGCAGGGGGAGCTCTGCCCTCTGCATAGACTTTGTTCAGGTTGAGGGCTCTCAGGAAATTAATTGGTCTACTTTTCCAACCAGGAAGAAGATTCCCTTCTTAACATCTGCAAGGAGATTGTGGAACGATGGTCGGAAACTCAGAATGTTGTCACCAAAGTGAAAAAAGAAGGTAGAGTTGGAGTTTTTACGTCTAACCTCCAACAACCTTTACTCTACAGGTGTTAGAGAAAGAGTTTTTAGTTTTCTCCAGTGGATGCTCATTTGCCCTAAAATAAGTTAAACTGGCAAACACAGAGCAGCTTACTTTAACTTTTTTTTTTTTTTTTTTTGCGGTACACGGGCCTCTCACTGTTGTGGCCTCTCCCATTGCGGAGCACAGGCTCCGGAGCATGAACCCGTGTCCCCAGCATCAGCAGGCGGACTCTCAACCACTGCGCCACCAGGGAAGTCCTACTTTAACTTTTTAACTGAACATTGGTTTTCTTTTTTCCTTTTACACTTTTCCGCTTCAGCTGACCATGGCTCTCTTCATTGTGGTTTTTTCTTTTTTTGTTTTCATTCCTCTTCCCACTCCCCCTTGTAGATTTGCTCTGCAGGTATAGGGTCAACTATATTTTCCCATCTTTTTCATATTCTCATTTCATAACACAAATTATGATTGGTCTTTTACTTTATTCAGCTAAACCCTCCACCCTTTAAAATGAAAGAGATGTTACCATTAGGATGACAAATCAGCTGCAGAAAGCTCAAATCATAAATCCAAACTGAACAGAATCTGTTCTAAGCCATCTGCATGTGGGTTCTCAGTCGTGGCTGTACACTAGAATTGCTTGCTGTACGTTTAATAGTGCCAATGCCAAGACTTCCCTGGTGGCACAGTCGTTAAGAATCCGCCTGCCAATGCAGGGGACACGGGTTCAATCCCTGGTCCGGGAAGATCCCACATGCCGCGGAGCAACTAAGCCCATGTGCCACAATTACTGAGCCTGCACTCTAGAGCCCGCAAGCCACAACTACTGAGCCTGCATGCCACAGCTACTGAGCCCATGTGCCCAGAGTCCGTGCTCTGCAACAAGAGAAGCCACTGCAATGAGAAGCCCACGCACCACAGTGAAGAGTAGCCCCCTCTCGCCACAACTAGAGAAAGCCCACGTGCAGCAATGAAGCCCCAACACAGCCAAAAATAAAATAAAATAAATAAATTTTAAAAATAAATAAATAAAAATAAAAGTGCCTGTGCCTGGGCTGCACCATGGACCAATTATATAAACATCTTTGGGGTGGGGACCCAGGCATTGCTATCTTTTTTAAAGCTCCCCCAGATGATTCTAATATGCAGCCAGGCATGAGAATCACTGCTTTACACCATTGCCTCCTTTCTTTGAGAATGGAGAAGTTAACAGATGATTTTATTTTAAAATAGTATAAGAATTTCACCTAGCATAATTATCAACATGAAATAGGCCAACTTAAGTTGGTGCTAGATTCCCTCTTTGGCTTCTGAGCTGAGAGGAGAGAAAGTTTCATGTTTGGAGGCTTCATTGTCTATGGTTCTAATGCAGTGCTTTTTAACCTTTTTTTTTTTTTTAAAGCAGCAGAACTTCAATATATAAAACAAGTAAAAGCAGGGCTGCTCTGATTGAAGATGTATATGAGACCTAAAGCCTGGCCTTCACGGCCTTTCCTTGCCTTTCTCATTGGCCCCCGAGGCACGTCCTTTGCACCCCAGAGCTCTAAGGAGTCAGCAGATGCCCTTGCCTTTTCTCCAAGCACTGCCAGGGTAGTGGACTAGTGGTTCGGTGAGCGTGTTTCCTCTCACATACAACCTTGTTGTCCCTCCCTTCCCTCCCACCACCTCCCAGATGAGGTCCAGGCCATTGCCACCCTCATTGAGAAGCAGGCGCAGATTGTGGTGAAGCCCAGGATGGTGTCAGAAGAGGAGAAGCAGAGGAAAGCTGCGCTCCTGGCGCAGTATGCTGACGTGACAGACGAAGAGGAATATCCTTTCTGGAGTCTCAGCGCCATTCCCTGAGGCTTGAGTCAAAAGCCTTTGCTGGTTTACAGTGAGCTCTGGGAAGCTGCCAATCCCCCTCTATAGCTTAATTTTCTCCTTTGAAATGGCAGTGATCTGTAGCCCTCGGTGGGCGTGAGGAATGATGTTGGAATGGTTGATACTGGACTTACATTTTTTAAGACACAATCTATATGTTCCTGAAAACTTCAGTGTGAAACAAATAATGCCTGAATGGACCACTGTTATTATGTTTTCAGAAAATATGCTCTAGCTGTGATTCTTTATAGTTGATTTACACTTACGATTCTTTACATTTGTATGATACCTTTCTATGAAGTACAGTGTTACATGTATAATCCATCTTTATATTTTTTCACAGTTGATAAGGAAACTGAGGCACTAAGCGATGAATGGGTGATCAGAGACATTCAAAGAATTAATAGCAAAACCAGGACTAGAACCTGGATTTGAATTTGGATTCCCAAATTTGGGGCAATTTCATTTGAATCTTTTTTTTTTTTTTAATATTCCAGTGACCACATAATTAATAAAAGTGAGACTGAACCCCCCAAAGCAACACCAGAATAAACCTGGAATTTGAGCGGGGACTGTGTGAAAAGCAAGTGTTGCTGGTGGGGGCAGATCTGGTTCCCTGTGAATTTGAAGTTTGTTTAGGGAATGCCTAGCTTACTGAGCCAGGTTGAATGGAGTGGACATCATACCAGAAACGTCACTAGGTTAGGAAAGAATTCTCAGGCTCTTTGGGGCCAACTCCTCTTCTAGTTTTGCCTCATGATTTTTCTTGCCAGGTTTGGCAGAGCTGAGGTTCCAACTACAAGATCTCATTTCTTGGGCTAGAAAAGAATGTTTTAAGCAGTGGTTCTCCTGGAGGATTGCTGGGCCTTATGCCCCACAGTTTTAGATTTAGTAGATCCAGAGTGGGGCCCAGGAATGTGTGTTTCTCACAAGTTCTGGGGCAGTTCTGGGAACCACACTTTGAGAACCACTGTTTTTGAGGTTATCTTGCCATCCCCTGGCTCCCAGGTAATGTGGCAGTCCACCTAGACCAGCTTCAGTTTCTTTTCAGCCTCTGACAGATAAGGATTGTACAGAAGCTCTGAGCAGTCTTCCCCAAGTTGAGACTTCCCAAGATGACTCTCCTGGGTCTGCTGTCATATCCCTGACAGAGTCCTTCCATTCAGCGCGCTTTTCCTACCCGTCACCTTAGTCACTATTTTCTGATGTTGGGTTGGGATGTGCTAACCTTTGTTTTCCATCTGACTTTCCTTAACGTCACTCACTGAAGCAGAGGAGAAGGATGATTCAGGTGCCACCACGATGAGCACTGGTTCTGAGAAATGTATCCTTCTCTGTGTCCATCCCCATGTGTTTCTCCATAGAATATTCTTGTGGGTCAGTTTTTATTTTACTGTCCTTGCTGGGGGCTCCATTTACCTCCAATGACACAGGTCCGGCCAGCATTGTGAGCCTCAGTCCTAGGACAGTACTAAATAGTCAATTTAGCAAGAATTTTCCCCAAAGAAAATATGTTAACATGAACTGTGAAGGGGTTAGAGAAAGAATTTCTAAGGGAAAATGAGAATCTATATTCCTTGCATATGGTGCTGGGTTTCCGAGCAATGTGGAAACAAATAGAACAATATTGCAGTTTTGGTCTTTGTCCTCAAAGATCTTATAATTCAGTGGAAAGAGACTACAAACACTGAAGACTTTAAGTTAAAATACGGACAGATTGAAACATACGTGCTGAGGAAAATCCCTACCAACAGAATCACTTATGAGCAGCTTCCTAGAGAACGTGGATTTAGAAATCCGCCTTAAAGGTGAGGAGTATGGTGGATTATCTGAGAAGGGGGGTTATTTCAGTGAGACTTACTCATTTTAAAGCACTAAAGCAGAAAAAAATTATGTTTTAAGTGTAAAGAGGAGCTTGTCTGGTAGTAACGGGTTATGTTTCAAAGTTGTAAGAAATGAAGAGTAAAGTTTTTGGCTAGGTATTTTCTAACTGGTTAAACTTATTTCCTTAGAACATGATTTTCACTTAAGCTTTAGTGGTCTAGGGTAAAAAGCAACCTGATAAAGTTTAGTAAGGTTAAACAACTTAACTCTTTTCAGGCATTTTAATAATGCCAAGTACATAAAAATTTTGCCAGTTACTTTAATACTCTAGTTACTAAAAGTAGCCTGGATACTATACAATATTGCGTCAGTGAATGATATAAGTACTTATTGTAGAATGAAATTTCATTTTCATGAAATATTTAACACTCAGATAAGTCTGAATGAGATTTTTATTCTAATTTTTTACTAATGGTAGTTTTAGGATTTCCCATTAGACCAAAGATAAACGTAAGGGTTTTTTTTAAGACTAGGGATAGGTAGAGAGTATTGAAGACTTGGCATGTAGAGAGACAACAGCAAGAATGAGGAGAGAGCAGTAGTTGAGACCTGTGTGACCTGGACCCTCATCCCTTAACTCACCTGTAGCCCTGTTTCGAAACACCAACTTGGAAGATGTCCTTAATGCCCGAAAATTGGAGCGAGACTCTCTTCGGGATGAGTCCCAAAGGAAGAAGGAACAGGACAAGCTGCAGAGGGAGAGGGACAAGCTAGCCAAGCAGGAGCGCAAGGAAAAGGAAAAGAAAAGGACTCAAAGAGGAGAGCGAAAGCGATAACCTTGGTCCACTCTATTCTTTCTCCTCATGAACTTGGTCAAAGGGAGAACTGGTTGTGCACTTGTGTATTTAAGAGAAATGAGAAAACATTGCAAAAGTGGTTTCCCAAGGCATTTCCCCTTTTGTTTACATGGTCAAAAGGAAAATCACAAACACTTCTAATTACAAAATGTGCCATGTCTCTGTGATGTGGGTAAGCAGATTATTGTAGTTGATGTCTGTACCAAAGATCTGGAATGGGGGCAACCTTTATATTTTAATACTGAAGTCCTGTACTCCTTTTGGCCACTTTAAAAAGTCTTCCCTCACCTGGGATAAAGAGCAGGAATATTCAGAAAGCTGACAGTTTTTGTCCTGAAGGAGCAGAATCATGACCACTCCTTCCCTGAGATGAAATGTAGGAGTGTCAATTGCTTCAGAAGTAGTATTCACCCCTAAATGTATTGTTTTATGGCTGAAATAGGAAGCTGATGAAGAGCCCCACCTGGATCCAGACTTTATGTTACATGGCAACAAACTAGGAAAATGAGAAGTTATTTGGTGGATGTTCTACATTTGAGATTTTTTAAAAGTTTCAGCCTATGGTAGGAAACAAAGTGTCTTTTAATAAGAGATAGTTATATATTTTTCCTTATCTGGGCTGTGATTTTTATTTTTATTTTTTTTGCGGTACGTGGGCCTCTCACTGTTGTGGCCTCTCCCGTTGCGGAGCACAGGCTCCGGACGTGCAGGCTCAGCGGCCATGGCTCAGGGGCACAGCCGCTCCGCAGCATGTGGGATCTTCCCAGCCCGGGGCACGAACCCGTGTCCCCTGCATCGGCAGGCGGACTCTCAACCACTGCGCCACCAGGGAAGCCCTGGGCTGTGATTTTAAGAAGGATGTGTCAGTGTTGAGTGCAAGGATATCATTGTTAGCTAGATTCATTTTTTATAATCATGAATCCTCTTGAGTGCTTGTAGAGATTTTAATCCTGATCTGCCCTAAAACATATAAGGACCTGATACTTACAAGTTAAAAGAAACCCTTTTAAGGAAGAAACACTGGAAATCTCTGCTAACACAAAGATATTTAAGAGTGTACATAGTAGGTGCAACAAATTTATTGAATGAGTGAGTGAATGGAAAAACTGCTTGGGAGAGTCAAAAGTGAGTAGGAACTCTCCTCTATGTCTACTTTTGTCACAAGCCACATTCGGTTGTAAATAGGCCTTTCCCTACTTCAGGCAGTAGACTGTCAAGAAGCCTGAAGACAGCAATTCCTCTGTCAAGACAGAAAGTAGATATTTTATACCAGGGGTGGGCAAACAGCTGCCAGCAAGCAAATTTTGCCCAGTCTGGTTCTGTGTGGTGCAAGCTAACAACGGATTTTACATCTTCAAAGGGCTGTAAAAGAAAGAATATGTGACAGAGACCTTATGTGACCTTTAAAGCCTAAAATATTTACTACCTGGCCCTTCGGAGAAAATGTTTGCTGACCTCTGTTTTATACCATTAACTATGAGATTAACAAATTTTTTTACCTTTCTGTGGAAGGTAAAACGCATGAGTAAGGAAATGATGTGTCACCTCTATACACTCCTATAACCGTGGCATTGCAAAATTTTTTTTAAATAACCACCTTTTAAAAAAATAAACTATTTAAATCACTGTCTTCTGATTTATTCTGATTCCTTCCACCTGCAAGTGAGTTCTGTGTGGATAGTCACTTAGGAATGGGTTTGAATTTTACTTATGTTTTGATTAGCCCAGTTATCTCTTCTGCTAGTAGAACCTCTTCCTGGAATCCATAAATTCTCTGCCTCAGTTTTCCTTTCTATGAGTTGGATATTAGGAGATCAGAAAGATTACCTTCTCTTTTGGACAGTCAGTAGATTGGCTTTGAAGTCTCTGAAGTACTGTTGGAGTCTTAGTTTCATATGTGGCTGTGGCTACAGATAGCATATGAGAGAGCCTATTTTAATTTAATAACCCATATTTTGGACTTTTGGTTGGTTCTCACCTTGATTTTGGTCTCTGAAGCAGAGTCAGGTTATATCCATAGACCCCTGAAGGGTTCTAGTTTCAATCTGTTATAACAGTAGGCAATTCTTTCTTCTGGGACTCTATTACATAGGTTATAGTTAGTGTACACTTGAACTAATGCTTAAACAGAAAAAGAGGATCAGCTCATTAGTCTTTGAGTAAGGTTATCCAGTTAACTCAGGTGCCAGTAAATCCTTTATGTCTAAAATATTCAATACTGCAAAAGGCAAATTTTAAACAACCATATTTTCTGTGGTATGATTGACATTTTAGGCCAAATTTGGAATTTCGGTCATAACATTAATTCCCAACCCTCTAAACTGTTATAGTACCAGATTATTCATAGGTTGTAATTCAGAAGTACAATGCTTAAGAACCATCCATTAGAGGGTATACAATAGAAAGGAACAACCTACTAACGAGTTATCCAAAGCATGACTTGATTAACAGAATTTCAAAGAATTTTTGTGTTTGTATTTTGTTAATGGACTAGTGTTTAATTTCTGACCACTGTCATGTAAAAGTTTCCCCAGAAATTTTATTCTGGTTTGCCAGGATTAGCACAAAGGCAGAACAAAAATTTATTTGAAGGAGGTCAGGTTAGATCTAAGGATATCTGAATGGCATTGGTTTATTATCTACTAACACTATTATTTATGTGTTAATAATGAAATTTAAAACTTACCACCAGTTCTTATCAGTTAAATGAAATTTAATTGGTTTTCTGGCATGAGTGACTCTTAATGTTAGAAACTAATACAGGGACTTCCTTGGTGGTCCAGTGGTAAAGAATCCGACTTGCAATGAAGGGGATGCCGGTTCGATCCCTGGTCGGGGAACTAAGATCCCACATGCTGCAGGGCAACTAAGCCGGCTCCCACAACTACTGAGCTCACGCGCCTCAACGAGAGAGCCCGTGTGCTGCAAACTACAGAGCCCACGCGCCCTGGACAGCCCGTGTGCCACAACTAGAGAGTAAAACTCGCAAGCCACAACTAGAGAGAAGCCCACACGCCGCAACAAAGAGCTGGCGCGCTACAAGGAAAGATCCCGCATGCTGCAACTAAGACCCAACGCAGCCAAAAAAAGAATAAAAGAAAATAAGTAAATATTAAAAAAAAACTAATACAAACATGTAAAAAAATGAAACTAAATATTTTCAACAAAGTAATTTATTTATTTTTCCTGAGAGACTAAATTCAGTTCAATATTTGTTTTCATAACACCCAACATGTCTTACGTCAAACTTAACCACTTTCTATGCAGTGACTGTGGTGGGATGATCTATTTTATTTGACTACCCTCAATGTAATTCATTTGGGTAGTTCTAAGGCATTTCAGTGATCAAAGTGTTTCTCCCTACAGTTAATCCTGCATTCTCAATCAGTTTCTTCTGAATATCATCTAAAGAAAATTTATGTGGTGTGATTACACTTTTTTTTTTTTTTTTAATACCAGGATTTCTAAAACTAGGAAAAACACCAACATTTGAAACATTAGTGTTTCTAGTCAAGGATAGTTCAATTAAATTTCATCAATACATTATATTATAGTTTAACTCATGCTAGAAATGTTAAAACCCAAGATCTTCTGAGTCACATAATACCAACATTTCATATTAATGAATTACTCAGGTTCCATACAAAGATATTAAGTGATGAGAAACAGAAAAAGCCAAGCTTTCAAGAACGCTTTTAAAAAAATACAGAAGCAAACTAATGAACAGAACTACACAAAATATACACTAACCAATTGCAAACTAAGCTAAAGATTAACCTTAAAAAAATACATTTTAGAACTTCGTGATACCCTCATAAAAGGCAGCAAACTAAGGATATTAAAACAATAATCATTATTTTAGTTACTGTGCATCAAGTCTAAAAGATCCAGATAAAGGAAATGTTTTGTTTTTGATTCAATTAAAATACTTTAAAACTGGAAATATTTAATAATTGATAGTATAATTAAATTTTAAAGAATATACACAAATGATTTGAACAGGCTTTATATTCAGTAACTTGCATGGTCTTTTCACTGGCACTTTTATCCCTACTTTAGGAGGATCAGATGCATTTTCCTCCATATACTTAGGTACTAAGATTTCAAATTTATAAATATGGTAGTATTTTAAATATTAAATTTTTACATGAATATTGGGTTCATCCTTGTTTTCCTTTGTTCCCTAGGTATTATCCAGTTTTGTAAGGAAAACACTTTTATATCACAATCAAAACTATGTCTTGGTTACTAGACTGTAGCCATAATTGGGTTACAGTCACTTAGATTCATTATTTGGAATTATACTTATTAAGGCAGACCTAAATGAAACATCTTCTAGAAGAATTTCACATTTGCATTTACCTGCACTGCAGAATGGGTTTCAGCAATATTTTAGCTGTTAGGAAATATTTAATTTACTTAAACTTGTTATCTTTGACTACCCAGGAACCCCTAGGGTAGTCAACTTTAGCTTTGAGTTCACTTTAAACTACATCTGATTCATTCCAAATAGAAGATTTTTAAATAGAAGTTAGACTTCATTAAGGTATTACCTTTAAATCTGAAAGAAAATTAATGTAATGAAATTTTCAAGTTTGACAAGTTCATTAACATTTTTTAGCATGTTTTGATACATTTACTTATCGGCTTTTTATTCTTCTTTCTGCTGGCATTTCCTTAATGTTTGTTTGCTTCACCTCTCTGGTTCATTGGATTGCTACTATTTAGGCTTTCATGGACTTTATCTTCACAGTTTACTATATCTTGTAAAGCCTTTTCCACATCTGTTTGGCCAGCTGTACTGGCTGTTTTTGGCAAGGTCATCTGCAGTGCACACCACAGGGTAGTGCGTGCTTTCCGAGTAGCCACACACATCTCTTTAATTGCTGAAGCAAGGGCAAAAACATCTGTAAAAGAAATATTTGGGGTCAGTTCATATCAGATGCCATTTAAGTACCCCTTAACTCATAAAACCCCGTGCTGTGCTACTAAATGATCAAACATTATTTTTATAAAAGAAGGATAGCTATTGACTGAGCTAACCAAAGTACTTGACTTAATATTTAAAAGTGTTGATACTTGTATTTATTTCTGACTTGTATAACCATGATTATGCTTTAGGTAGAACACAGACTTTAACAGAGTTATTATAATTAAATGGGTAATATTAGCAAAATAGATCAAAGTGCTTCTGGAGTAAATTATGTGGGCACCATTTAACAATTTATTCTTTAGATAAGTATAAATGTTAGAAATTCAACCTTTTAACTTTAGAGTCTGATTTTATTAACATTCAAATTATCTCAGTGCCTTATCAAAAGAATATGCATTAATGTTTGTACCTCTGTCATCTTGGCATCTAGGAACACCTTGCCTTTGCCGATTTGAAGCATTAACAATTTCGTCCTTTCTACGTGACTGTACAATGTGAATGGACTCCAAGTGTCTATCAAGAGCTGTAGAGATACTGGCATGAAGGGGAGAGCTTCGAAGCCGTTCCATTTTGCCCAGTAAAGTCACAACCTGAGGGAAACATTTTAAATTTTGATGAGGCATGTAACCACATTGCCCTGTCAGTAACTTAAAACAAATCTTCAATGAAGCAGAATAGAGATGAGAGCAGTAATAATCAATAAATAAGTGAATGCTTACTATGTCCTGACACCATGCTGGGGGAAACAAAGATGGAAAGTCAGTCTTTTGTACCTATTTGTGTATGTTAATTCTAAAAGGTTTAAGGGTAGTCAGTTATTGGGAATAAGCAACAATGAAAAAGTCAAACATTCAAATATTTCCATGTTATTAACAGTAAGTGCAAATATAAGATATGACATTCTTTTTGGCAAATAAGAGAATAGCCTGCAAATAGAGCATTATTAGGAGTTACTGTAATTAAAAGGGAAAAAAACTGAGCTAAAAAGGAGAAATCCTAGATTGATTAATCTTGACTTCAGCAGTTCCTTTCTGGGCCTCCAAAGTTCTCCTTTTGGAAATCAGAAATAATACTGGCTAGCGGTAGTTTTAAGGAATCCATAATCCAGAAAATACCAATTTAAACTTATGCTGAACTAATACAAAATAAATCCTATAACTGTCAAAACTGCTAAGGAAAATCAGGAAGTCTCAATCTTCTGGTTAATTAAGCTTAAAGAAGAGCACTGTATATCAGTAAGGGTAGTACGTTTCATAGTTGTATATGCCTAACTTGTTTCAAATTCTAAACTTGGAAGGTGTAAGGAAAGAGCAGTTTTTGAGTAAGTAGGATTTGGACATCAAATAAATACAATAATTGCATTTGGGAGCTAAATGATTTAAAATTCACATTAAGAACTTGGTGTTCAGTGATTGGAGAGAGTAGAAAAATACCTCTCAATTAATAAGCACCTGAATGATGCCTCTAACCTCACACTCCTATCAAGTTTCTTTGGAATAAGTCTATCCCAGTTTAAGCTCATGGAGAAAACACAAGTGTACAGGTATAAAATATTTTCTTCCCAACTGTACAACCAGCCAGATTCTTGAGGGGAAAATAAGACAACAAAAGAAAATACCATAGAAAAAACTCCAGTGAACTACAAATTATGTATTTTTAAAATAAGACAATCATTTTGAATAAATGATAAGTGTAAAGAAAGAAATTTACACAGGTGATTTTTAATAAACTTTTTTTTTTTTTTTTTTTGTGGTATGCAGGCCTCTCACTGCTGTGGCCTCTCCCATTGCGGAGTACAGGCTCCGGACGCGCAGGCTCAGCGGCCATGGCTCACGGGCCCATCCGCTCTGTGGCACATGGGATCTTCCCGGACCAGGGCACGAACCCTTGTCCCCTGCATCGGCAGGCGGACTCTCAACCACTGCGCCACCAGGGAAGCCCTTAATAAACTTTTAAAAGATTTTTTTCAGAATTCCACAAAACCAGCAAACTAGAAAGTGGTACAGATAAAAATATTTTTGCCCTTTGTGTATTACTGATCTAATGTTGCTAAATATAGATAAACAAAATTATTATAACAGCTATAAACATAACCTTCTAAATTAGGGTGAAGCCTAAGTAAGGCTGGAAAAAGTATATTTCTTAATATCCACAGTTAGCAATCCTTTGATTTATTGCCTAGAAATGTATTACTGAGAAAAAGAAAATTTAACTTGGAACAGTTTTAAGAAAAAAACAGAAGACCTAAGTTTTTATAACGTTTGGCTATAACCCATGTCAGTATCTGACTATACCACTGATAAATTCCATTGTACAAATTTACAAATTTGATTAAAAATTACAACTGAATGAGGCTGAAAGCTAGGTAAAATCAATCTTTTTCCATTGAAGTAGTTCATATCTGTATTTTAAAGACAGCATGGTACAAGTAAGAAACTAATGTTCAATAAAATAAGACTCTGTGGGCTTCCCTGGTGGCACAGTGGTTAAGAATCCGCCTGCCAATTCAGGGGACACAGGTTCAAGCCCTGGTCTGGGAAGATCCAACATGCCGCGGAGCAACTAAGCCCGTCTGCCACAACTACTGAGCCTGCACTCTAGAGTCCGTGGGCCACAACTACTGAAGCCCATGCTCCTAGAGCCTGTGCTCCACAACAAGAGAAGCCACCGCAATGGGAAGCCCATGCACTGCAACAAAGAGTAGCCCCCGCTGGCCACAACTGGAGAAAGCCCATGCATAGCAATGAAGACCCAACGCAGCCAAAAATAAAGTTAAGAGTACAGAGTTAAGAAAATGAAATATGGTAATTTCCTGTTAATTTACTATCTTGTATAATGCAAGCAGTTTGCTCATGAAGCTAGGAAACAAATGTTTGTGACTAAGAAATGGGACTTTCCCTGTAAAAGGCAAAATGATTTTTGCTTAAAAAAATTTTTCTTTCTGTTGAGGATTAGTTCCATTGCTAATTTGGGTTTCTTGAAGAGGAACCACTTAGACTATTAAACCTACTATTTCAATGACTGAGTGGGGCTATTTTCCCTTTCCTAAATAACTAATAGTTCTAGGTCCAAACATGGAAAAGAATACATTTCAGAGAGTTACACATAAATGTGATTTTAAAATCCTTCAGAATTCTAACTTGCTGAAGCATTTTAAAATTTTATCAGTTTAAAAAATCTGCTATTGGATATTTTCACAGCTTACTCTGGCTTGTTCTCGAAGTTCATCCACAATTAAGCGATCAACTCTAGATGGGTTGGAGGTTAGCCTTGGAATTGGAGTATTATTAGTACTCGATACCTTTTTCGCTGGATAATTTTTGGCAAGAGCCAATTCAGTCTGTAAAAAAATTATATAACTTTTAGATGCTAAATTTTCTAAATATGATTCAATCATGAATAATATTTCTCATAGGCCTAAGAAGTAAATTGAAAATTACTCCTTTAGATAAAAATTGTTTTGGTATCAAAAGGCAACAAATACAAACCACAGTACCACAGTACTTTTCTGTCACACTTAATGCATAAAATACCTAAACACTCCAATAGTTTAATACTTAGAAAATTCAAAGAAATAAACTTTTAACCCATTAAGGAAAAAGTCTACCTAATAGGCAAAATAAACTTTAAAATAACAAATTTTTTTAAACCCCAAGCATTTTTAGTTTCTAAATTACCTAATTAATTCTCTATAGTCATGAACTTAACAAATACTACACATTATAGAAGAATGCAACTTAAAAATAAGGCAAGTACTCTTTCTTAAGCTACACTAAGGTAAATAAAATGAAGATAGGCAAAGGGCATATACTAAGTTACACCTAAATGGATAGTTTTGTGTTACCGTTTTTCTCTCCTTTTCTAATGCTCTCCATTGTTCATAGCACTCTTCTAGACGAATATGAAGTTCACTGGCTGGTCCACTACGGGTTTTAATTGGTCTTTGAAATCCAAAAGTTGGCACAAAACCAGAAAAGGAATTATCACCATACATCATATCATTGAAATACGGGTTTAAATGGCTTAAGTCATCGTAAGAAAACAAATCATAGGAATCCAACAGTGGAACAACTGAATGGCCAAGTGGGTGTGTGGATCTTAGGGGAAACCCATTTGAACCAAGTTGTTGAAAACTCTGATTATGCCTTAAATCTCCCATCATATAATTATTAGAAAAGCATGACACCTGTGTGCGATTCACACGGCTATTAATATTGTTCTCTCCACTTCCCTGTCTGTGGCTATTAAAATGACCCTGTGACTCCAGCAGATCTTGATATGTATTTTGAGATAAGCTATCTAAATGCTTTGGCCCTTCCTCAGGGTCATAATGGCCACTCTGGGGCATAGCTTGAAAATAATGTTTGTTTACATTTTCAATGATCCCATACTGCTGAGCTGAATAGTTATCATAAAATCCATTTGGCTGCTTTATTTTTTTATCGGTAACAGATTCAAAGAGATTTTCTTCTCCAGTCTTTGTCAGTCCTTTCATGTGACTGACAGATTGAATTCTTTCTGCACCATTATAACCAAAATCACAACTAGAAAATGCTGAAGGGTTTTCTTGGCAATACTTCTGAAATAAATTGCTATTTGCTGTTAAATTTGTAGATGATAGTTGCAGGAAATCTGAAGAATGGTTAGAACCTTTTGAAGCTGCACTTAAATGAGTATTTAATTTCATCAAGTTACCTTGACTTCGATAAGGAATAAGAGCGTTATTTTTTGTTTGGACATTCATCCAAGTTGGTCTGTTTAAGTTGATACTGCCTGAAGATGCTGCTGAGTTTGCTAGTAAATTCACTGACCTAAAATACTCAGAATTTGGGGGGTCAGGTTTAGTAAACTGTTGCTTTTCTGTGACATTGACAAAATCATTATTAGCTGGACAAGCTGTGTGAGGTTTTAGTCCACATTCTGATTTTAAGCCAAAATCAGCAGTAAATGCTTCCTTTGCAAACTGTTTTTCTGTCAGATGTGGTATAGTTTTTGGAAATGTGAAATTCTGCTGGTCAGGTATTGTCGCCTCCATTTTTTTTTGATTTGCTGGTTTAACCTGAAATAACTTTGTGTAGGTGTCTGCTTCTACAGTTGGTGTTTCAGGTGTGCCGCTGGCTAATTTTTTACTATCTTGGACACTAAAATTTGAACACTTATTCAGCTTAGCCTTATTAGGATAAGCATATTCTGGGTATCTACAATAATCTGCATTTTCATTGTATCTATTAAATTGGGAAAGAAACATCTCTGCCCTCTTTTGCTGTAATGGTGCTTCAAGACCTTTAGCACATATTTTTTCTCTTCCATAAGAGTAGGTATCAACTCCTGATTCTTTCATGATGTCAGACAGACCAATGTGGGGTGTAAAACAGTTTTTGATAGATAGATATTCTTGAAATGTCGTCTTAGCTGTATCATTTGTCTGAATACTGTAACAGTTAGAATGATCACTTCGTGAGGGGTACATCCATTGTTCTTCAAGGTCTAAACCAGTAAATCCATGATAAAGTTCATCTATTTTTTGTTGTGGTATCAGATTACTATTATGCAGGTACTGCTTTTCCACTGCTGACACAGATTCACCAGTATAAAAAGCTTGCTGAGAGATGGCTGTATCTATTGGCCTTTTGGTTTCTGTTAAGAGGTCATGGTGATCTGCAAATCTGCTTGTGTTCACTGGCCAAACTGACTTTAAATTGGAGGAGCAGGTCCTAGAACAAGTAAATACATTTAATTACAATTTAGGTTTTAAAAGTATTTTCTTAGTGGAGAAGGTAGGAAAGGCTTTCAAAAACATTTATATTGCCCCACCTCACCAATCTCTAATCCTTTCCAACTTTGCCTTATAAGCTGCCATTACATCCAAATAACTATAACTTGAAATGTGCTATATGCTATATAAATATGCATTTTAATCTTAATATGTCTTCACTATACTTTCCCAAGAGACATATACTAAGGCCTGAGGCTGGTGACTACATGGTCTTACATGAATTGTTTTGTTTTTTAATTTATTTTTCTTTCTTTTTTATCTGTGTCGGGTCTTAGTTGCGGCACGTGGGATCTTTGTTGAGGCATGCAGGCTCTTTTATGTTGCGGCCCGCGGGCTTCTCTCTAGCTGTGGCGTGTGGGTTTTCTCTCTCTAGTTGTGGGGTGCACGGGCTCCAGAGCGCATGGGCTCTGTAGTTTGTGGCACGCGGGCTCTCTCATTGAGGCGCATAAGCTCAGCTGCCCGCAGCATGTGGGATCTTAGTTCCCCGACCAGGGATCGAACCTGTGTTCCCTGAATTGGAAGGCAGATTCTTTACCACTGGACCACCAGGGAAGTCCCCACATGAATTGTTTATATATAGTAAGTAGAAACCAAAATAAGTTTTTCTTTTAATTAAGTTATTATATAATACAAAAGTGTTGTTGACCTCAATTTTTTTTAAATAAAAAAGATGTGCTGGGATTTCCCTGGTGGTCCAGTGGCTAAGACTCCATGCTCCCAATGCAGAGGGCCCAGGTTCAATCCCTGGTCAGAGAACTAGATCCCACATGCCGCAACTAAGAGTTCACAGGCCGCAACCAAAGATCCCGCATGCTGCAACTAAAGATCCCACGTGCCGCATAACATGGCTTCCACACCCAAATAAAACGATTAAAGCATACTTAAAAAATTTTTACCGTATGAATAAAATCCATACATACTTCTGCACAGCAGTAATGATAGTTTTATTTTTGTAGGTATAAGTATAAAAGTCCTTGGAATGTATATTCTTTAAGCCAAATTTTAGCTCATGAACTCAAGGGAAATAGCTCTGAATTATGCAAGAATAATTATGCAAGTTTCCAAGTGAAAGTTCTTTTTTTAAAAAAAATTAGTCTTTTATTTGCCAGTATAACTACAGTAGCCTGCAAACTTTTTTAATCTAAACAGCACATTTTACGTCACAATCCAACAAACACACACATATATAATGTGTATACATATATAAAAGTGAAACAAAAGTTTTGCCAAAAACGTCTACCCCGAGTGTTAATTCTTTTTAAGACTTTTTTTTTAACCAAGGCTGAACTGCATTGACACATCATAATCACCAACATCCCTAGTTCATCTTAGGGTTCACTTTACGAAGTGAATAGTGTTTCATGTTCTATGGGTTTGGACAAAAGTATGATGACATAAAATCATTATAATGTCATACAAAGTATTTTCACCCCTCATAAAAACTTCTGTACTCTATGTATTCATCTCCCCTCTCCCCGCAAACTCCTGACAACCATTGATCTTTTTATTGTCTCCATTGTTTTGCCTTTTCCAGAATGGCATATAGTTGGAATCTATTTTTCTGCTTTTTTTGAAGAGAGGGGTTCAAAGCCTTTATGCCTTTAAGACCATTCATGGCCCACCCACACGTGGACCAGACAGGCTCCAGGTGGCAAACTCCCCCACTGCATGCTGTAGCTTTCCTTCCAGTACTGAGCCCTGTCCCACTGGTCCTGCCCAGCAGCCACATGGAGGTGCAGGGGGATACGTGTTGGGTATTTGTTCATAGGAAGGCCACAGGTTTTGTGCCCCTTGTCACAATGAACCCAGATTCCTGTTGGGTATGTTGTAAACAGACGAGCCATTTCTTCAGACCCCCTGCTCTAAGCACACCCCAACAAATGAAAGTTCTTAATAGCAAATTAAACTTTCAATTGTATGGCAAGCACCACAGCAAAATCAAGGCTTCTCGAAACAAATATCTGAATTAAGATGTCTACTGTCAGATGATCCTCTATTAACTAAAAATAAAAGTTAATAGGATAATCTAGTACCTGGGAATTTAAAGGTTTACTACACACTGTATAGCTTATATAATATACTAACCCCTCAGTGAAATATGGCTGTGATTTATCTTGCTCTTCCAAAATGTTAGACACAAGTCCATATAAGTCTGTTTCACTACCATAGTCATTTCTTTCTGTTTGACTCCTAAAGATAAATGAATATCACATGTAAATACTTTTGCTCATATTGAAATACAATATATTGATTTCTATTTCCAGACTTATTCCGCCATTATTTTTCGATAAAATATTTGGATTGACTCTATACCATCATTTCAAATAAAAAGGGAACAGGAACTCAGAATATTTTCCACTTTAGCATAGTGTTTATGTTACATAAGTATTTCTCCTTCATTCCAAATCCTATGTCTAGTTCACAATGTATGCTTACCTCTTATTTCTCCAAAACACATGCTATTCGTTTTAGGTGATCAAGATACAAATCTCTGATCCATGATGTTGCAGACACGGTTGGTACCATGGCTGCTCCTGAAATCATGTTTAGTCCTAGTATACATCATTACATCAACAACACTTGCTCAGTTTTTCCATTTGTGATTTGAAAACCATATGAACCTGTTGCTCTATTTTGTGACTCTTCATACTAAACGTTGGATTAAAAAGTGAAATGTGATATGGTCATCCTAGATATCACAGCAACATTGCAGTTGTCCCTTAAATGTAAAAGATTTGGAGGCTACCCCTAAATCTTTGCCGAAGAAGTGACTGGTACTCCATGTACCCGAAATCCTACCTAGTGACTAAAACTATCTAAATAATACAAAATGTAAAAGCCACAAGGAGATGGAAAATTGGTGCCTTTTTACCGCTTATGGATTTGGGGTAATTTGTTCCTAGAAGTAATATGTTGTTTTAAATTGTAATTTCTTGTTTTTTCATATTTTATGTCTATCATTTCATAGTGTTAGGACATTTTAGAAATAAATAAAAATACCTTATATTTGCATAACATTCAAAATTTCATTGATCTTCATAACACAGGAAGGGAAGATATTAGTAATCGTTAAGCTGTTGAATAAATGATCATGTGTGATATTAAGAAACTTGAATTTTGCAAGGGCATGTGATTTGCCATGCCTTACTATACACTTGCTGAATAAATGGTCTGCCTACAAGTCTAATGCTTTTTCCACTACATCTTGTTATTTCAAAAAGATTCAATATAAAGTTTTTTTGTTTAATAATGTTAGTATATATCTAGAAAAATATTCTATGTAATATATACCAAACTGTTAATAGTTGTTACTGGGAGGTGGAGAGGCAAGGTTATGGTAAAATTCTGCTTGCCTTTATATATTTCTGTAAAGTGTGAAGTTTTTCAATGAACATGTATCAACTTAAAAAATATTTTTGTTTTTTGTGGAATTATATGTTATATAGTCCTTCTAATAAAATCACTATTTTAGAGAACTTACCAAATTAAAATTTTTTTAACAATTATTTAATTAATTAGTAGATTTTAAAAATAATTATGTCCTGGTTAAACTAAAGATGCATCGGCCTCTATTAACTGCTCCCTTATTATAATTAACATAAAGGTAGTGTCACTCCCTTAAGCTTCTCTTGGCAGTAAGCTCCCATAATATTCTATACTACTTCTTTTAAACCTCACTATACTTGCAGTGCCTGACAAGTTGTCGTCATCATCATCATCATTACTGTAAGATCTATAAAGGCAGGGATAATTTTTGCCATGTTAATTCTAATATCCCCAGTAGGAGAGAATCTGACATAGAATAGGCCCTTATTATTACTGGAATTGAACAGAAAAATAATTAAAGTATCCTATGTTTGATAAAATCCTGTTTGTTGTATACTTGTGAAGGAAAAATTACCGAAAATTTAGAATTGGATTAAAAAAATAGATTGAAAAACTGTAACTCATTTATATAAGTTATCTTTAGAAAGAGGAACTTAAGATTTACTCAGGGTTGCCTCTCATGAATGAAAAAAAAGTAATAAGAAAAAATTATACACACGTAACTATCCCGTTTAAGATTTCCTAAAAGTTTGATAAACAAAATTATAATGCCATAACATAAAAATGCTGATATAGGGAACAAAGAGCTAATACAACTAGGTTCCCATGTAATCAAACTTAAAAACACTTCATTTAGCCTGAGAAATCTAATTTATTAATTTACCTGTTCTTTCCACTGATCTGAGAATTAGAGGGCTGTTTAATATCATCTCCATATGTAGACGATGGTGCATAGAAAAGTGAAGAATCTATAGAACTTGCATATTCTGTTGATGAAGAAAGTGGAGCATAGGTCTGCCTTAGGTCAACACTGTCTTCACTCTGAAATTTTAAAGACATGTTTGTATACCAGACACAATCAAAACTGCATTTATTACAGAATATTAGCCAAATAATAGGAAATTTGAGGAGTTGGGAGACAAATCTAGACTTAGCCACTTAAGCTTACTTTACAGTAGGGGTTGGTGATTTTTTTCTGTAAAGGGCCAGATAATTAATATTCTAGCATTTGCTGTGTTAAGGTCTCTATTGAAACTCCTCAACTCTGCTGTCCTAGCACCAAAGCAACTATAGACAGTATGTAAACAAGTGGGCGTTGTTATTCCAAGAAAATTTTGGTCCCGTTCAGTACCTGTTGCTTATCACTGGTATAAAACACTTACAGTTATTGCAGTTTTAATTTTTTGAACAGATGAGCATTATGTGGACTATAGCAGTATTATTTTTAATAAATCATTTAGAAAACTCAGTCTTACTGCCCCCAATCTGTGAAAAAAAAAGTGAATGTACATTTACATAGAATTTTCAAAGAAATTCCACAAACATTATTGTATCCAGTCAATCTTATGACATGGATATTCTCTATATTTTAAAAATGAGGAAATGGAGGCTAAAAGTTACTGAGCTAAGAGGTGACAAAACTAAAGCCCAATCTCAAGGCCTTCTTACTCCTACATTAGGGCCTTTTAAAACAATATCTTTAATTTTCAGCCTAGTTTCTATTTCCAAGAGAAAGTGTAAAAATGAGATGAGACATGTTATATCTTAAGAAATTTTAAAGATATTACAATTAGAAGAAAAAACAAGCTCATTTTCTTTTTTCTTAACACTTCTATAATGAATTTTGAGTAAATAAGATAAAAAGTTTGAGTTTTAAGATTTTAATGAATTATTAAAAGTCCTGCCTCCTTCCCAAAGGGATTGAGGTACAGTGAAAATACTGCCCCCTCAAATTTTAAATACTTAAAATAGTCTGAAAGTATAGATTCACAATTTTTTTTTTTTTTTTTTTTTTTTTGCGGTACGCGGGCCTCTCACTGCTGTGGCCTCTCCCGTTGGCTCCGGACGCGCAGGCTCAGCGGCCACGGCTCACGGGCCCAGCCGCTCCGCGGCATGTGGGATCTTCCCGGACCGGGACACGAACCCGCGTCCCCTGCATCGGCAGGTGGACTCTCAACCACTGCGCCACCAAGGAAGCCCAGATTCACACTTTTTAACTCTCCAAATAAGGAGCTAGTAAAACGTGAGATGTAATAACTATAAATATCCAGGCATAAACACAGTAGAAATAGTATTTTCTTATAAATATAGAAGGTATATAATCCTGGTTAAAAATATTTTCTAATTGCTTTCATTCTCTTAATCGAAATTTATGTAAAAAGAGATAAAACATGTTTAGATCAAAACATTCCTAAACTTTTGTTCTTCATAGACATGATAATTGAAAAACAACACTTTAAACATTCACTGAGTTTATACCAATAATATATGAAAATTAATACCTTCTAATCACTCACCTTCAAGAATCTCAAATATTTTACAGCCATTTGTTTAAATTCCAGTTATGATTACTATTTGAAACCTACACATTATAATTTTCTCATTTATAGCTTATATTTTGTTGACTATTCTGAAGCTGGAGAGACTGAGGCACAGAAGGGATTTTGCTAAGAGTGCCACTAAAAACTGCCTTTCCAAAATTTCTGTTTGTTAGCAGTATCTTTTATAAAGTATTTTATTGTTAGAACCTTTCATAATTTTATTCCTTTAGTTCTGCAGTTTTTATCACAGACCCCCTTAACTCTCTTTTAGGTTTGAAGTATCCAAAGTGACATAAATAATTGTTCATTTTTTGAAAGAGTTGCTTAAACAAAATAAGCATTTTCACATTATATAATATCAAATGAAGTAAACAGTATTTGAAACTAAATGTATTTTGGGAGTATTATTTCAAGTATATTTTATATTTTAAAGTAAGATTTGAGTATTAGAAAAAATCCTTTTAAAAGACTGATTTAACTGTAATATGCCAGGATAAAACAAGCAACTAAAGTAATGTGGTAGATTCAAACAATTATACTTTAAATATCTGGATCCTTCTCAGTCAAAATATTTCTGGGAATTAAATATGCAAATGCTTAGGGTTGGCATATTAATTAGTCTAGATAACTGCAAAATGTATCACTTTATCCTTGCTATGCTTAATCAACTGAAATTAAATCCAAGTAAATTTTAGTAGTCATGTAAACATTACAGAGAGCAGTGGAATGCTGGTCTTGGCAGTGAAAAAGAGCTGGGTTCCACTTGGGCTTTGTCACTTAGGGCACAAGTCAAATGCTCTGAGCCTCAGTTTCTCTATCTGTACAGTGGGTATAATACTATACAATGTTGTAGTGTGAATTAAATAAAATTATTTATTTCAGGATATTGTTATAATTCAAAGTATAACAATATCAACAGTGATGTCCTGGTTAAATAATTTCAAATGAAAATGGCTTACATTAACCTAAGCTTAATTTAACACGATTAACAACAAAACTAAATGTTTTACGTGAGGTAAAAGGCAGCATGTCATCAAAGACATTGTTAGAGCCAGAGAATAAAAGAGTAAAGAAAAATTTAAATTATAAAACGTATGTTTGCACCGACTTACAATAAACGCCGGAAGGAAGAAATATTTTATGGTCTTAGTAAATACAGATTTTTCTTACATTTCTGGCATCACGTCATGCTGAGGACAAGACAAAAATAAGAATCAACGAAAAATCTTATTCCTTAACTTTTTTTTGAAACCAGTGTGTATTCTGCAGACTCTGTATTTAAAATGCTGTTACCGGGGACTTCCCTGGTGGCGCAGTGGTTAAGAATCCACCTGCCAACGCAGGGGACACCGGTTCGAGCCCTCCTTCCGCGAAGATCCCACATGCCGCGGGGCAACTAAGCCCGTGCACCACAACTACTGAGCCTGTGTGCCACAACTACTGAAGCCCGCAGGTCTAGAGCCCGTGCTCGGCAACGAAAGAAGCCACTGCAACGAGAAGCCCCCGCACCGCAACGAAGAATAGACCCCACTGCTGCAAGAGAAAGCCCGCGCATAGCAACGAAGATCCAACGCAGCCAAAAATAAATAAATAAATTTATTTAAAAAAATATATTGTTACCGGGTGTCTGGTCCTAAACATGGAGCAATTTAAACACCTATGTGAATGGCCTGGGGGTGGGGGTGGGGGTGGTGCTGGATCTGATGGAGAAAAAAATCCTCTAACAAAGGCAGAGCCGAGTAACTGACCTGCGACTTGTAGCAATCATAGAAGGAAGGGGAGCCAGTCAACATCACGCTGTTGAAGACATCTGTTAGCCGACTGCTGGCGTCGACACTGAGGTTCCAGCAGCGATTCGCACCCCCACGTAACGCGACTTTCCGCTGCACGAAACGGGGATAGGAAACGGGAGAGAGACATCACGCAGGTTAGAGCCAGGACCGAAACGGCCGGACGACGGCTCCACGTCGGCTGTGCGCCCAGCTCCACCCGGAATCAGTTCCCAGGACACTCATTTGGGGGCCCCGGCTTCCCTCTCCACCTTCCGGCCCGACACCGAGGCGCGGCCCTCGCCCACCCGACGGGCCCTCGCCGCCGGCCTCCGCCTCAGCGCCGCCGCGGCCCAACGTGGAGGAGGTAGCGGCAGCCCGGGCGTTGCGGGCCGTCACCTCCCGCCCCAGCCCGGCCGCCCGTCCTGTCAGCCCGCACCGCGCCCCCAGGCCCCGGCCTGACCGACCGCTGCGCCCCCCGCTCACCCCCACGGCGCGGCCCGGGCGCCCCGTCGGGGCTCCTAGCTGGTGACCCGGCCTCTCCCGCCCGGCCTGGCCGCCTCAGAGACCCGCGTCCAGGGACGCGCCCGCTCCTCAGTCTCTCCTCACCGTCGCCGTCCTCCAAGGCCGGCCAACACCCGGACCCGGACCGTCCCCGCAGGTTACCTCAGGTCCCTCCCTCAGGCCTGGGGGGTAAGAGGGCGGACGGGCGTCTCGGCCGCTCACCTCCATGGTGCCCTCCAGCCCCTCCTGGACTAGGCACAGCTCCTCGGGTACGGGGGTGAGGGGGCGTCGAGGCCCGGCTTCCTCAGCCCGCACCCCGCCGCCGCCGCCCACAGCTCTGCCTGGAGCCGGTCTGTGGGTGCGGAGACCAGAGCAGGGAGGGAGGGGCGGGGTGGAGGGGAAAGGCCGTTACATTGCACCGGCTCGCTACCAGCACGCGACCTGGCACCTGCCCGCCTCGCCCCGCCCCCTATGGCAGGGCCGCCCCCCCCTCTTCGCACCCCTCATTGGCCCGCTGCCCGGCCAATGGGCGGCTGCCTCCGGGGCCTGTTACCACTCTCCTACCCAGAGACAAGGCCAAGAACCGGCAGTTAGGCGACCTCTCTCTCCCGGAGCTTCTGCGACTTTCCCGCTCAAAGTAAACGTGTTCGGGATTGGCCCGGCCCGTCAAGCACCCACCTGATGATTGGCTAATAGGGCAGCCTAGGGGGCGGAGCGTGGAAGGAAGAGAAGGAGCGCGGGCGTACCCGGTGGGAGAAGTGACGCAAGTGGTCGGAAGATTTGAGAAATCGCTCAGCAACCAACCGATAATCCTAAACCTATCGGCTGCTCACCTTGGGCCAACATTTCTTTTTTGTCCCTGGTCCCGACCCTAACTCCCAGAATCCTTTGGAGCCACCCGGAGAGTGATAGACTTGGGCCCGCTTAACGGAGTGTGAGGAAACAGTTATGGAGTTGGGTGTTGTTGGGAGAGCCCCTTCCGAGGGGGAAGAGAGCTTTTCTCTATCCTAGGCCCCACACTTCGGTGGGGGTGAAGGCATCTTGGTGCTAATGGAACTCCTGAACAAAGTTTACTCTGACCTGTACCAGACAGGCCGTTCACATCGGCGGTCCCATTTGGGGATGTGATATCTCAAGGTTTTGTCCCCAGACAATGCTAAACAATTTTGTGTGCGTTGAAATACTGAAGACGATCAAAGTAAACACAGTAGCCACCTTTAGGGCACTATGTTTAAAATAAAAATTTGAGAAGCGCTCAATTAAGTGGAAGATGTTCTTTTTAACTCCGGCAGAAGTGGAAATAGGATAGGGGGACACGTTTTATTGGCTCGTATTATTCTGAGAGTTATTTCGGATTCTCTTCTCAGCTTTGAGTTAAGAAAGCTGTTTAGGTGACGTGGCTGTACCAATTACATTTCTTTCCCTACCTCACCCTTAAAGTTGCTGACGTGGAGCATATTCCACCCTGCCATTCACAGAGCGTACTGTCTTTTCTCTCTCTCCCATAACACCCAGAATGATTTTGAAAAGCTGTGAATCCTCTTATGTATCTTTTTTATTGTAGTAAGATATACATAAGATTTAGCATTTTAACCACCTTCGAGTGTAAAATTCAGTGGCATTAAGTACACTCACAATGTTGTACAACCATCATCACTATCCATTTCCAGAAATTTTTCATTATCCCAAACAGAAACTTTGTACCCAATAAAAAAATAACTCATATCTCCCCTTCCCTCCACTCTCTGGGGAACTTTATTCTACTTTCCATCATTATGAACTTGCCTATTGCAGGTACCTCATGTAAGTGGAATCATACAATATTTGTCCTTTTGTGACTGTCTTATTAACATAATGTCAAGGTTCATCCATGCTGTTGTACGTGTCAGAACTTCACTCCATTTTCTGGCTGAATAGTATTCCATTTTATGTGTATACCACATTTTGTCCATTCATCAGCTGATGGACACTTGGATTGTTTTCACCTTTTCATTGTTATGAATAATGCTGTTATGAACATTAGTGTACAAATATCTATTTGATTCCCTTTTTCAATTCTTTTGGATATACATATACCTAAGAGTGGAATTGTTGGGTCATATGGTAATTCTGTTTAACATTTTCCACACAAAACTTTCCCACAGCAGCTGCACCATTTTACATTTCCACAACAATGCACCAGGATCCCAATTTATCCACATTCTCACCAACACTTGTTATTTTCCTTTTTAAAAAAAAAAAAAATAGCCATTCTAGAGGGTGTAACGTATCTTATTGTGGTTTTGATTTGCATTTCCCTTATGACTAATGATGTTAAGCATCTTTTCACGTGCTTCTTGACCATTTGTATACATTCTTTGGAAAAATATCTATTTAAGTCCTTTGCTCTTTTTTTTTTTTTTTTTTGCGGTACGCGGGCCTCTCACTGTTGTGGCCTCTCCCATTGCAGAGCACAGGCTCCGGACGCGCAGGCTCAGCAGCCATGGCTCACGGGCCCAGCCGCTCCGCGGCATGTGGGATCTTCCCGGACCGGGGCACGAACCCGTGTCCCCTGCACCGGCAGGCGGACTCTCAACCACTGCGCCACCAGGGAAGCCCCTTTGCTCATTTTTGAGGTTGTACTGTCTTGTTTAGTATTGATATGGTTTGTTTTGAAAATGAATATTACAGGAAAATGTAACACTCCATTGAACTCAAGTGAATACATTAGTAAACGGAACATTTTGGTTACGGAGCAGAACAAGTATTCAGTGTGTAGTTAGTTCTTTCTTTCAGCTCTTGTATTTGTTTTTTGGAAGATCTCATTCTGAATGGGTATGTTGAGAGGTAGATGGGATTGGTTTCACAATATCACCTAAAGATATATACAAACCTCAGACTAAAATGAGAAGGGGTTACAAATACTCAAATAATTGTTTTATGTGTTCTCTGCCTTCATCTGAATTTAAAGTTTTGGGGGAAATGGTGACCTGTCTCCATTTATTGAATATTCCTATATAGGAGCAACCAGGGAAGATCTTTACATAAGATGACCACATTTCAGTAACTTTGATCCAGCTCAGAATTATGGTGCCCTCAAGTAATAAATTCATTTTTTTCTTGCTATTTTTGGGATAAGTAAGTGAATCTGAATTTATGATTTTTTTAAAAGATATTTAAGAACATTCTTTAAGAACAATTTAACTGTATGCCATCCTGAAAACTTATTGCAGAATGCAGACTTTCTCCTCCAAAATATATTTAAAGGTTAATTTCTTCTCCTTCTTCTTCTTCTTGCAACCCTGGAAGACAATGTACAATGTGGTACTCTTCAGTTACATTAGCGAAGCCCTTTTTATACTTTTACAAATATTTAAACCTTCTGTTTTGTAACAAAAATAAATTGTTGGTTTCATTTTTAAAAAAATCAGCCTGCCCTGTAGAAATGTTTTGAGTAATAAATAGTATTTCATTATTCTCCTGAGAAAAACTTTCAGTTCAAATCAAGCACTTGTTTTCACAATATTTATTTATTTATTTATTTTTGGCTGCATCAGGTCTTAGTTGTGCTGGTGCAGGATCTTTCCTTGGGGCGCGTGGGCTTAGTTACCCCACGGCATGTGGGATCTTAGTTCCCCACTCAAACCGTCATCCCCTGCATTGGAAGGCAGATTCTTAACCACTGGACCACCAGGGAAGTCCCCAAGTGCTTTTTTTTTTTTTTGCGGTACGCGGGCCTCTCAGGGCCTCTCACTGTTGTGGCCTCTCCCGTTGCGGAGCACAGGCTCCGGACGCGCAGGCTCAGCGGCCATGGCTCACGGGCCCAGCCGCTCTGCGGCATGTGGGATCCTCCCGGACCGGGGCACGAACCCGTGTCCCCTGCATCGGCAGGCGGACTCTCAACCACTGCGCCACCAGGGAAGCCCGGGAAGCCCCCAAGTGCTTATTTTTGAAAATTCAAGGTGTAATATTAGTGGCACAACCTCAATGCCAAAGAGAGAACTCTGAATTAATCCTCCATAGAAAGCCGTCATATAATTTCAAGTCAGTATATAATTAAATCGTGCAGAATTGTTATATATGCTCACATCTGTATTAAATGAATTTTCCAGCTTCTCAATGGACTCTTGGTCCAACGATTCAAATGGGCTGCAAACCTGCTGTGATTTCAACCATGCAATTCCTCACAGGCTTCTCTGATTTGAGGGACTAAACTCCTTAAATTATACCTTTTGAAATTAACTGGGCTGCCAGATGCTATTTCTCAACCTCTAATAGCTTGTTTGGAGGCTTACAAAATGCTGTTTATTAGAGCTATTTAAAACTGTATTTCCGGGCTTCCCTGGTGGCGCAGTGGTTGGGCGTCCGCCTGTCGATGCAGGGTACGTCGGTTCGTACCCCGGTCCGGGAGGAACTCCCTATGTCGCGGAGCGGCTGGGCCCGTGAGCCATGGCCGCTGAGCCTACGCGTCCGGAGCCTGTGCTCCGCAGCGGGAGAGGCTGCAGCGGTGAGAGGCCTGCGTACCGCAAAAAAAAAAACTACGTTTCCTTCTTCGTATACTCAAATTAGTGTTTTTCTGGATCTCTAGCATTAGTTTTAGAGCTTCTTCCTTGGTAGGTAGTAAGCTTGTTTCTGCTTTTCCCCTTCTGGTTAGATGGGGTTCTAGGTCATTCTCTCTTAATCTGTGCTCCAGGAAACTTGTAGGTTTCTACTTAGTTTGAGATGAGACCCTGAAAAATTCATGCATTTACCTTTGCTGAGCAAATGTTTCTACTAGGAGTGGGGGGAGGTACTTGAGTTGATATTTATCAAAGATAACATTAATGTGCATTTCATATGGCAAATACTTCTCTTATCCCTTCAAAGGTCAGAATTAATGTTCTCTTTCATCTTTTAATATTCTGATCTTTTTCTAAGTATCACATTTATTTCTTGGATGGATTCTAATGGGGGTATATTTGATATTTAAGCTATGAATTAGGCATGGAACTAGGGTTTTCATTGTAAATTGAAATGTTCTGAATACCTCTGTTACATGGCTCTCCAAAACTGAGTTGCTATTTCTCAGTGTTTGATTGGAACCGGAGGTTAGAAAAGATTCATAAACGAGTGCCATCAGAAAAAGACATTTTTAAAAAGATGTCTTTATAAATTTCCTTTAGGCCTTTAATATTCTCTTGAATTTGAGGGATCCCCTGGCTATCGAATGAAAGGTCTTTTGACACCAAGGGACTGGAAAACAACTTCTT